CAACTACTTGGTAAAGAAGCTGACGCTGATTGTCATTTTTTGTCAAAACTTCATTAAAGTCAGTGGCTAATTTAACTGCCCGTTCTGCACAGTCATTAACCACTTTCATGGCACGAACAATCTTACAAGCAGTCTTGTAGTCATCACGATTAGCTCAAGATTTAGGAAACGATGTCAAGAATTCTTTTAGTAGATTGAGAGAGTCAAACGAATTCATTGAGCGTCGTGTAACAAAGTTAGCTATAGAAAGTTTAGAGAATGTATAAATTTTGTTTAAAACAAGTCTTCTATTGTCACCTGTTAATGGTTCTTTTTGTAAGGCATTTACAATTTCCATTTTCTCTTCAAAAGAAATTTCTTCTCTGAATAATGGGAGAGCAGCTAGATCTTTACTTAAATACCATAATTGAAGTTTAATTTTATTTTTTGCAATATTTGCAACTTTGCTGTCAACTTGACAATAGTTCTCGATTACTTTTAAAAGAAGGAGATCATTTTTTGGTGCTTCTGTTGTGAGAGGTGCTGAAAACCAGAAACATAAATAAATTGTGGTTATGAAGAGACAAATTCTTCTTAAAATCCCGATTTCTTTATCTGTGACATTTAATTAATGGCGAAAACCAAAAATTTTTAAACAGTATATTCCTTTAACTATCCATCTTGCACAATGGTAAGTCCCAGGAGTGCGAATAGTTGTTGTATCATTAATTTCTCCCAAAAGGAGAAGAGCTAGTTGCCCAAACTCTTTGTAATCATCACGTGGTTGAGTGTCCTTTAAGTTTTTTTTTTAATTTTCCACCAGATCGGATTTTTGAGATGCAAGCCACTCTTTTTCAAGCTTTGAAAGGCATCCAGTTCCGCTTGTATCACTTTCAAGTGGTTCAAACTTTGATTTTTCTATTAAGTCCCACTGGGACTTCACTCTACCAAAGAGGTCAATGTTTGGTCCTTTTGATACAAAAAACGTATCAAACACTGCATTTGCACAGATTTCAAGAATATGATGTCGACAGGCTAAAAACAAAACTCTTCGGTTCATTGACTTCTGTATGACAGTTATTGCACCATTATAACTTCCTGTATTACTTGCAGTTGTGTCAAGGCAAAGACCTGCAAGATGCTCCTTGACGCCAGGCCATTTATGAATGAACTCAACTACCTTCTGTCCCATCAGAGCACCAGTACCAGCAGGTATTTCAGGGATCCCTAGTAATTTTTCAATATCCAAGCCAGATACAACAATTGGCAGACATTCACGTCTGGTTCTATCAACATATGACAACATTTTATCATCAAAATGAGCAACTAGCGGAACCAAGGGTTGAAAATCTTTTCTTACTGCTGTTGAAAGAGATTCGCGAGATGTAGTTCGAGCTTCTATTAGAGTGGAACGTGATAATGTTAATTTATTTACATCAATACCGATTCCAGCTAGGGCTGGTGTGACAACCATCATTGCTTGTCGTAGTGTTATTTTTGTTCGGTCTAATGCTGCATGAAAGAGTTGATTATCAAGAATACAACGTTTGGATACTGTAATTGAGAGTTGACTAGTACCCATAGTAGAATGTTTTGAAATTTTTTGACGATTAAAAACTTTTTGTATTTGAATTGACGCATCACAGTCAGAGTTTTCATCCAAAGAGTAATCTGAATTGTCATCCATTAATGATTCTGTAGATTTAACTTTACTTTCTTTATTTTGTTCATAGCGTCTTTTTTCTTCAAGCATGCGTTTTTCGTATTTTTACAACTGCTTTCTTATACATTAGGTCTTCCGATGTCATTAACATCTTTCTGGGGCCTCTCTGGTCTATCAGAAATTATTTATCTTCATTTATCTTGATGAGACAATTCCATTCACTATGGGCAATATCAAAAAGTGTAGACATCTTGGTGGTGAATTTTTCTTCATAGCTGTGTTGAGTAGCTTATTTTCTACTTCTGTGCTTAGACACTTGAACATGTTGCTTGTGAATACTCTTTAGTTTAGCAACTACATGAAGCTTAGCTATAGTTGGAATATTAGCATTAAGCCAGAAAATCATAACTTCATCTACAACTGTGTTGCAAGATGTTGAAAGAGTTGACTTTTTGACTATCATTTCATAAAAAACTCTACATAGTGCAACACCACTTGTTGGCAACTGACTCGGTCCATCTATTGTGGAGAGAATATGTCCAACTAGCCAAACATTTGAAGTTGAGCGTGTTGCTTTGTTTGAAGCAGCCATCTTCTTATGTAATATTTTTATACTTTTTTACTATAATAGAAAGAATATGACAGAAATTTAACAATTACAAAGTGCTCAAAGCATAATTAAAAAATTAAAAGTCTTAGATAATACACCCGCCCCCCATTTATTCCTAACCCTTTCCCACCCAACAATGGCCAAACATGTCATTACTATTATTAAATTTATAAAAATTTAATTTCTGAGCTAAAGTTTACTTAGAAAAAGTTTACTTGAAATCAAAGCAAACAAAATGTTTTTGAAATCAAAATAGGCATTTAGGAGCGATTTTGAGTAAATAATGCTGAGGGTGGTTAATCTAAATTTGCTTGTACTTTCCAGTCTTCTGTGAACTTCTATGTTGTAACATTATAATACTTTATATTATTTGTTTTTAGATCAATTTATAGCAGTACTTTCTATGAAATAAAAATAGAATTACAAGATTAAGTTTTTATACAAATTTTGGTCAATTTAGAGTTCCAAAATAGGGTTTAGGGGACCACTTCCCATTTTCAGTTTGCAAAAAAAATTTAACAATATACTTTTTATAACAGACCTCACCAAATAAGCGGTTGTGCGATTTAAAATTTGAAAAAAAAAATTTTTCCATATAAAAAAAAACCACCGTAATATAAACATACAGAGTGGGCGGACATACAACCTGGCGGTCAATTTAGCATACTGCATAAGTTAGTGTATGCATAAGTTGATAATAAGGAATGAGACATAAAGTACTTTATTTTTGCTTATCTTTTATAGACACAGCTGCATTTTACTTAACAATAAAAAAATTTACGAATATTTTTATTTTTGATTTGAGATATTTTTTAGCTATTTTTTTTATAAAAGCGATAACCCAGAGTTTGGTGTTTCATGATTTATTTTTACAATTATTTTCAGATATTATCCTCATAACTAGGTAATCCTCAATAAAAATTGGAAATATGCTTCGGAAAAATGAAATGTCACTTGATCAGGTTAAGGTTAGTTATAGATTAAATACAAACAAGTTCATCATGTTTAAATTCGAGAAAATAATTTTGCGTTTTAGATCCTGGACAAAAATTTTTGAAAAAAACAAGCTATAATTTTATTTTCTAAAATAAAAAAAAATTGAAAGAACTCATCAATATACTAAAATTTATATAAAAACTATTTCCCATAACGCATTTAGCGACGCAACTTTAACTCATTGAGCGACGCAACCAAAACGCATTGATCGTTTGATAACTTATGGAATATTACACTTTAGTTTTTTTAAGTTTTTTTATTTATTTTTATTTTTGGTTATAAGTAAAAAAATGTTTTTTAATGTTAATACAATTGCCACTGTTTTATTTGCCAATATTGTCAGAATATTGCTTATCTCGACCAATATTATCCAGTATAAACAATAGTACTTGCTACTAGGGAGGAATCGTTACTGGAAGTGAGACGGAAACAACAGTTTATGTAAAACAATCAAGTTTATATCCAAAGATTAATATAACTTAATAAATAACTTATTCAAATTATTTAATATTTTCAGAAAGTTCTTTATGAGATTCTGCCACGTAGAGCTACTTCTGGCGTATGTACATAGGGGGATGGGAGGGGTGGAAACGATATCAGGCCATTTGATAATAACTTTATAAATATTTTGCTTTACAGACAAAATATGGAAAAAACGGTGTTATGTTGTTCTTGTTTGTCAACAGTGTGTTTGTGTTTATAATTTGATTGCTTGATTTTAAATACATTTAATTAAAATATTTTGCATGATTTAAAAAAATATATATTTAGTAAATAATAACCTCATAAATATATAATAAACAAATAATTTCAGCTGAAAACATTCTAAAGGTCATTTATAGTTGTTCTTTTTTCAGCATTTTGCTTTGGCGTCATTAAAACCATCGACTAATTGCTTAATAAAAGTAAGAGGAGGAGAAAAAGCTTATTTCGACTTAATAGCATTATCGTTCATTGTTTAATTTTTGTGGCTTAAGTCACGACTACGATGCTGTTAAAAAAATGACGACGTAAACTATTTTAATTAACTAAAAAAATATTTAACAAATTCTACTCATAGAAAATCAAGGTCTTTAAAAATAAAGAAGCCATAGCCGGCAAACTAACATTTATTATAGATTTAATTTTATTTGATTAAAAAACTTTTAATTTTTTAAATTTAAAAATAAAAATTTTTTTTATTTTATATTTTATTGTTTTAAAGTTAATTTAGATTTAAAAATATTTGTAAAATAAAACTTTTTTTGTTTATATCTTTATTTCATCGGATTTAACATATGCTTATAAATATCTGACGTTTTTTTTTTAAGCTAATTTTCTTCAATAAAAAATCTTTGAAGATTTTACACAAAAATCCCGTGGCATTCTTTTACCAATTTATTGAAAATGCTTCCGCAATCAAAAAATGTAACAAATCAAAATGCTATATTTAGAATTTTTTTTATACTTCTTTTTGTAGCAATCTTTCCTTGAGTCTTTAAATAGTTAACAAAAAACAAAACAGATTTCCACTTTCCAGTAAGGATTACTGGTTTTAATTCATCTAATTATTAACACCTATTAACTGCATTAGTCTTTGCTTAAATGCTCAATCACCTATCTTTCTTTCAACGGAGGAACCCTTTTTAAATTTTTCTGTTAATTTTGTCGCCGCTCCAAATCTTATTTTTATCAAGCAATTGCCGAACAGGAAATTGTTTCATATATAAAGCAAAAAAGTATATTTTTTGAATGTCTCAGTGTAAATCAACTGGCCAAATAAAATGATCAGTTTACATTCTGCAATTTTGCTTTTTTTATGCCTCGTTTACGTGGAAAACCATTGTATGAGAGGGTAAACGTGTTTTTTATTTGTTTCTTTTTGTCCAACCTTGATTAAAATTGTTTATTTTTCCTTTATAACCTGATGTTTACTTTAATCTATTGTAGAGAAAGACAACACAAAGCATCTTGCTTAAATTTTCCATATTTCATGAGACAACAAACACCCCTAAGCTACTCTACGCAACCAGCTAATTTTACATTTAACAATGCCTTAACAAGTGAACTATTGTACAATGCTTCTCGCATAGCTACTGATGCATGCGAGCAACAATTCCAACATCAGCAATGGAACTGTTCTTTGTCTACCTTTAATAAGCTAACAAAGCGAGGTAAGAAATTTTTTTTGTATATATACATATATATATATATATATATATATATATATATATATATATATATATATATATATATATATATATATATATATATATATATATATATATATATATATATATATATATATATATATATATATATATATATATGTATATATATATATATATATATATATATTTCGTGTGTAAAATTATTATACAATTTTAGCATCTCGGGAAACTTCGTTTTTGTTTGCTATTTATTCTGCTGGACTTGCCCATTCCATAGCTGCTGCCTGTTCTCGAGGTTTAATTGAAAATTGTAAATGTCATTCAACAAAAAATAAAATTTACAGAATGACAGAAAAAGAAGTTATATATGAAGATGCAAGCTGTGCTTCCAACAGCATTGCGTTTGGTATCACAGAGTCAAGAAAAATGCTTCATAATGATAAAGAAAATGACCTAAAATGGCGAATCGATGAACATAACAAAGAAGCAGGGAGAAAAGTGAGTTGCTTTTACTAGTTGCAATATTAATAATTTGTGCTGTGAAGATACAAAGATGTTTCAAATAATGAAAAATAGCTTGTTTATCTATTTTATTTTTTTTAAATAGCTTGTTTTATGCTTTTTTTTTTTTAAACATTGTTTTTTTTTCTTTTAACAGATGTTAAACTCAAATGTACTTAACCGCCAAGTAAGTTGCCAATGCCACGGAGCTTCTGGTGCTTGTGCAATAAAAAAATGCACGCAACAAATTCCATCTTTTAAAGCAATCGGGCAACAAATTATGTTAAAGTATAACAATGCTATCCAAGTACAATCAGATAACAATGTATTCTCGTCAAAACTTATACCATATCGCTTAGAAAAATTACAAGAAATAACCGAAAATGATTTGGTGTACAATCAGCCAAGTCCCAACTTTTGTGAGCCAGATAAACATTCTGGTAGTTTAGGTACACGAGGAAGAATCTGCTCAGCTAACAGTACAGGATCTGACAGTTGCGATAAACTTTGTTGCAATCGAGGGTATTCAGAAAAGACAACTTTTATTACTGTTTCATGTCGATGCAGATTTGCGTATTGCTGCGATGTGAAGTGTGAAACCTGTCAAAAAAAGGTTGTGACTCAGTTCTGCAATTGATTGCTGTTCTGCTCATTAACATCAATTAATTGAACTAAAAAGGGGAAGGTAGAGAGGCTTAATTTATTAAATCAGTAGAGAATTAATTACATTTCAATCATAAATTAAAATAGTTATAATGTTTATAAAAATTTTATTTATACTATTTATTATAGCAAAAAGACTAATAAATTATTTATTATTTATTGTTAACACAAACCCATTTATTTTATCAATAAAAACAATTTTCTAATTAAAGTTTCAAAAAAAGTTTTCAAAAAAATATTTTTTCGAAAATTTTTTTTAGCGTAAAAATAGAATTTTATGTTACTTTTATAAAAAAAGTTTAAGTTTTTGTTTTCTTAAATGTATAGTTTAAATTGTATTTATACGCTCATTGATATATATTTGTTATTTATTTATATTATATAGATATATAGATATATATATAGTTATAGAAGTTGCAATTATATTTGTATTTTGATTGTCTGCAGAAAATTTACATTACAAAAAAAATAATATGTATATATAAACTGTTTTTATTTAAGATTTTCCTAAGAAACATAATCGATAACAAAACTGAAAAATATATTTAGCTCTTTCTTATATCCGACTTATTAAGTTTTAAATACGAAGGTACCCGTTTAAAAACGGGTTATTATGGCAAAGACGTTATCTGCTTTTTGTATTAAAATACATTTCAGGATTCTTTCACCCTGATATATGTAGTTGATACGGGCTTACACACTGACATTGCAAAAAAAGCTGGGTTTTTTTTGTTCTTTCATTATTTTTATCGATAAGCTTATTTGCAAAACGTTTCAATATAAAGCATTAAAAAAACATTTGTTTCTTTAAAATAAAAAAAAGGTTATACTTGAAACATTATAAATAAAAAGTTAAATATTTTAAACCTGATTAAAACAGTGAATTTTTATGTAAACTGGAAATATCTGAGTCTTTGATTAATTTACACAGGTATCAATACTTTATTATAAATGACAAAGTTAATAAATAATACTACAAGGGGAAAATGATATCTTAACTAGATTATATTGTTTATCGTAATGTAAAATATTAGTTTAATGAAGTTGAATAAATTGTGGATCATATACTTTTTATTGTAGTTCTTTTCCTTGACAACAAAATCATTGAATCTAATATCTGACAAATCTAAACGCAAAATATTTTAAACAAACTCTAGTACAGTAAATACTATTTTATGGCTGGCAACAGACACAGGAGTCATTAATTTGAGTACCTCAAATTTTTTTCAACAGCCTAGCACAGTGGTTAAAAAGAGCTTGCTTTAAGAAACATGAGAACCAGGGTGTGATCTCTGGGCATAATCTGCGTCATTGGTAAGAAGGCGTGAACTTCCTAGTTAAAAGCTCTTTCGCGGTTTCCCCTTTCTTTAAGCTCCCCTTTCTTTAAGCACCCCTTTCTTTAAGCACCTTTCTTTAAGCACTTTTCTTTAAGCACCTTTTTTAATAGTTTAGTTTAGTTTATATAACCATTTAAAAATGTTAACAATGTACAAAAATATTTAAAAAGTATACAAATGGCTGAAGCACGAAGAAGGCATAAAGTAGCCTTATCACTGAGCCCCAGTAGTAGAAACGCTTTTTATATCCGTATTATATAGAAAACGACATTTAAAAAAGGGACAATTTTAATATATTAAGAAACAAAAAAAGTAATAAAATAATTAAGAAAAAAAAATAATTAAAATATAATAATAAAATTTCCCGTTTTGGATTTTATACAGATTGTATTTCAAAATTAAAATAAATAAAATTTCTGTTACAATAGCATAAAACATATTGAAATAAATATAAGATAAGATAACTAAATTAAATAACTTTAAATAAATAATACGTAACTATTATTTTTTTATAGTTATTTAATTTAAACAACCAAACTATCGACAGGTAACTTCAAACTATCGGCAGGTAACTTCAAACTACCGGCAGGTAACTTCAAACTATCGACAGGTAACTTCAAAGGTAATATTTAAAGATAAATACTTTCAACGAAAGTCTGATAAAATTCATAGAATTTCCTAAAATTAAATAATTTTATTATTTTTTTAAATGATCTAGATTTTAAAACTTATAGTGCTAATTTAGTTTAATAACATCTAAAATAAACAGACAAAATCTACTATATTAAAAGCAGTATGTACTAAATAGTAAACGTCTTGATTTAGACTTAAATTACGTGTTTTTTCTTTAATAATAACAATATGCTAAAATTTTTCAACATAACATGGGCAGGATTGAAAAGTCTTTTTTTTTCAAAAGCAATTATGGATAATGGAGAAATAAAAACTTTTTAAAGACCTAATATTTAAAAATAGCTTTGCCCTATATATCATTGTAATATTTATTAAAAGTTTTTTTTTAAGAGTACTTATTTGACTCCTCTATGATAAATTGTTGTCTAAAATAACACCATTAAAAGTAAACATTTGCCTTGTAATATTTATATCATTTATTTTAAGATTGGGTAATTTTAAAGGAAGATTTTCTCTTTTAGTTGGTTAATGAAGTAGAATAAATTTAGATTTCTTAACGTTAAATGGAAGTCTATTTCAAATTAACCATTCGTTTACTTTGTTTACTTTTTCATTAATTACTTTTAACAGGGTTTTAACCTATGAAAATAATTTTAAAGAGGGTTTGAACCAATGAAAATAATTTTAAAGAGGGTTTTAACGAATGAAAATAATTTTAGTTAACAGGTTTGAGGTAAGAGATCACTTATATAAAAAGAATACAGTACACGGTCTATGCGATTTATATAAAAAGAAAACAGAAATCAGTCCTAAGATTGAGCCTTTAGGCTAGATTGTAGGACCGTTATACATTTTGTAATTTTAACTCTTTCATAATCCAAGTTTCTTGTCTTATCCACGAAATACTTTCATCTGATCAGGGCCGGCGCGAGTAGGTGTCACGTGGGGGGGTGCCATTACAACTTTTGCCGACTTAAAAAAAAAAAAAAAAAAAAAAAGTCCTCGTTTTCCAAAATTTGCCGACTGTCATAACGACATTTGCCGACTGTCTAACCTATATCGAAAGGGGGTCCATTTGCCGACTAACTAGGTCCAATTTGCCGACTAAGGGTCCAATTTGCCGACTAAGGGTCCAGTTTGCCGACTAAAAATCATTGATGGGGGGGTGTGACACCCCCCTATCGCGCCGGCCTTGCATCTGATGCGTCATGTGTAAAGAATAAACTTATAAGATTTTTGTTTATAGGCTTACATAACTATACATATATTAACGGACCAAACTATAATTAAAATTGAAATATAAATATAACTAAATATGGCTAAAAAGAGAACTAACAATAAAATGTAAATGTAACTAAACTTTCTCCGGAAAAAAAGAATTTCGCGAAAAATATCACACAACGCTACACACTTCTCCGATACTCCTTTTCATTTTGAAATTGTTTAACAAAATTACAATCAATCTTGCAGTTGTATTCTCTTCGTTAAAAAAAAGTTATAGCATTATTATGTTCACCAGATTGCTCATTAATGAGCCTTATGAGCAACTTTCTAGGTGCAAAGTTAACTTTTGCTTGTTATAGAACATTTAGTTTCCCAAATAAGGAAGCAAGGTAAGAAGTAAACATCTTAGCAGTGTACACCAGCCAATCACGTAATTTTTTTTTTCAAATTTTATTTGCAAAAAATGTTCTCAACTTTAGTATGAACGAAACAACATTTTGCTTAGCAAGTCGTTTTAAATTCGGCTCTTTCCTTCTTTTACCTCCAGACTTTCTTTTTCCAGACTCATCCATGTCACAGTGAAAAGAATTTTCTTTTTAATATAAGTAACCTGGGTTTTATCTTTGCTTTTCAAACGTAACGAAAAATTATTTGAATCTTATATTTATTTTAATGCTAATAAAAAACCTTTTATTACACCAACTTTTTAGACGCTATGTAACAATAACACTGGTCAACAAAGAATTTTTATCAGATATAATTTTGAGTTGCTTGGATACAGTTTTTGACGCTGATTTCAAAACTCCAATTTTTTTTTGTGCGTATAATTTTTATGATGAACTTGCGTGTAGTTTTTATGATACGCGTGTATAGTTTTCATGATAAATGTAAATAGACAGATTTACTAATATCATGTAAACAAAGTACTACTTTTTACAAAAATTTATTGGATATGTCTTACGTATTACTTAGATAATCATGTTCATTTGATTGTTTGAGATTGTTATTGTACGTCTAGCAACACACATAGTTTTAACCTGGTATCTCCGAGAACAGCTTTTTACATTTTGCCAATTCCAAAATGTAGAAACCTATTGTAAATGTAAAGCGACATTTCGAATCTGCTCTGCTTGCTCAAATGTAATACGCAATTGGGTGAACAAAAATCTTCAACTGCCTATTCTAGTTTCTACAGACAATGGTTTAGATAAAGCGGATAGTGGTGAATCTAATAATGATGAAAGTGTAACTAGGGGTGTTCTTGGATCGCCTGAATGGTAAAAATTTTTAACCAATGCTGTAAATCAAAGACAATTAATTGATCTTTATAGAAATTTATCACTGTCTAATAAAATACCTCAAGACTACAAGAGAACAATTGACAAAAATCTTTGTTTTAGTTACTACCAAAATCGGAATAAATATTTAGCAACATACTTTACAGTAGACAATCCTTTCTGTTATTGTCATGATGTACATAAACTAATCGGAGGTCTTAAAGTTATAGGTATGTTAGTGGGTATACAAGCAAGATTTATAAAGTATTGTTGCTAAATTTTTCTGTGGAACAGTCGTTTCACAACGGAATACTACAGCCAATGTGGCTGGGAACTTAGGTATTCATATGTCCCAGAAACAAGCAATGTTTCTGGGACACATGTAGACCTATGTTGCCAGTCTGTCCCTTTAGTTGATTCCCAGAAGATCTTCCTACATTACGATCCTTAAAAGATCTCCAACATTAAACTTGGTTTAACAAAGACTTTTCTTAAAATAACGGGTAAAGTAATTCACAAGAATTCTAATACCTTTTTAAAATATTTTTGAAAGTTAATGCACTTAAATTGAAGGA